TGATAGTGTTGGAATATCATTTGGCTCAGTCCAAACCATTTTGAAGGATGTTTTGTGTCTCAAACGCGTCAAGTCTCGATTGGTGCCATGTCATACTGCATTGGTTCTTCACGACTTTTTTGCCAAAAACTCGACTCATATCGTTCCGCAACCACCGTATTCGCCTGATTTGGCTCCGTGCGACTACTGGTTATTCAGCAAACTCAAAAAGCCAATGCGGGGACGCCGTTTTGACACGATTGAGGAGATAAAAACCGAATCGAAGAAGGTCTTAAAAGCTATACCGGAAAAAGACTATTCCGACTGTTTCGAGGACTGGAAAAAGCGTCGGAAACAGTGCGTTTTATCGGACGGGGATTACTTTGAAGGGGATGAAATTGATTTGGAAGAATAAATAAAGAATTTACATTTTATAAACAAATTCACCTTACTTTTTGATCACAGTAGTACAGTCACTCTTCTTCACACAAAGTACATTTTATATCCGCTAGATGCTTTATTAAACACTGTATCATATTTGAATTGCATTATTAGTAAATAAACAATTAGCAAATTCCAACAATTAATAGTGACATATGAATATATGTATAATATATTTGTAACAACTAAATTTGTTTCATTTTCATTTGTTTCGTTTTCGAAAATAAGTAGAAAAATATTACTATTGAATAGGATAAATTGGCGACGTCTGATCATTACACATCAATTCTACTTCTCGTCATGCTATAAACCAAACGAACTTGACGCATCTTGCAACTCAGTTTTCTAACAAAATAGAGTGTTAAGTGAAGAAATGTTAGTCTTTTTCTTCGACGTCTCAATAATCTTTGAATTATCGAACGGAAGTTGAAACGTTTTTTTTGATAACCGAAACGAATGTTTTTCTTAAAAATGGATTAAAAAATAAATTCGATTGTTATAAATAATGGGAACCTAAAACGATTACTTTTTTTAATAAACCCTTCTTTGGTTCATCTTTTTGCATCATTTAGTTTGAAACCATAATTTCGTAGTCTTTCAAGATTTTACATTTTGCAGTGAACAAATTAACGATATACTTTTATCCTAATACATATTATTTAACTATCCGTTATAAAATGGATACTACTATATCCACTGGATCGTTCAAAAAGATGTTTTGTTTTTTCACGAAAAAATGAAAGACGACTTTTTAATGTTTAGAGTAAAAAAAAATTGTTCAATATTTTTGTGCTTGTTTAACACACGAAACGAAATTTTTTGGAAAGACCTTACAAGTTTTCGAACGACCAAATATTTTAGATGAACGTCAATGAAATTGCAATACAGCCGGATATTTATTACAGCGAGTCTAAAATACAATAGAATTGATTATGCTAAACTTTTATGAATTTTGATATTAAAAAATAATTGGTAATCGTGTATAAATTTCACTTTTGATAACAATCAATCTTAACCCCTTGCCATACCATTTTTCTTTATGCTTATAACGCTCAGAACTTTTTCGATTGCAACAGACTAAAGTTTAGATGAGAATAGAACAGAATATTATTCCGATTTAAAAACAGGAAACAACATTCACATTTAACAGGCTATTACTAGAAATCGCCATTACGAGTCAGACTCGTCAAAGTACGGCGAGGCAAATATCAGATCAAATAAGTTTCGTTAATATGTTCGTTATGTTTTAAACTATTGTAACTGAGCTGAAGATAACTCTGTGAATCTGTTGAAGAACTTTTTAGAAGTTGCAATTATTTCAAAAGTTTTATCTTAATCATCTGTGGGTCGGTGTAACTTAGAAGTTACATACCTATAGTGGTGTGCATAATTATGTATAGAAGCTCAAACTAACTTCTACATTGTTACTGATATCTAAACGAAAACTTAACAAAACAATATTTCTATTTTATCAATTAATATTTAATTATATTAATATTAATATTTAAATATAATATATAAATATTAATATTTAAATTTATAATATTAATATTTAATACAACTATAATATTTTGTTAAGTTTTTTTTTTAATACACGTGATGTCTAAGCTAAAGGAGTCCACATACAATGCTGTAAATATTTATAAACTCGAAGCAGTTTTTACATTGTTACTGGTACTTAAACAAAAATCCAAAAAAGGGTATATTTGTATATTTCTATTTTCCATTATTTCTAAAATAGACATATATAAATATGATGTTTTGTTCAATTTTTGTTTGAAAATCTCTAAAAATGTAAAAGTTACTTCGAGATTTTGTAATTATCTACAGCACTATAATTGTCATGTTTCTAGCCTAATTACATGTTCAACCACAAAGCTGCAAAAATATCTTGTTTTTTTCCTCCTCTGTTATCGAGGAGATTTAAACTTTTACTTACTTATATAAAAAATTTAGACCATAGGAGGTTAGAGTTGGCGACATACTTAACCCTAGAAAGATAACCATATGACAACGTACGTAAAAGATAACCATACGCTTCAGAGGCGCATGCTTTTCTAAGGCGTCAATTTTATACTAACAATGGATATTTATTTAAGTTAATCTATTCATTTTAAAGGTTTGGCATTATTGTAAAAATAAAATGCATTTATATTATATTTTTTTATATTTTAAGTAATTTTAAACTTAAATCACTAGACCTCTATGAAAAATTAACAAAAATCAACAGTCTTCGCAGGCGCCTCTGCGACGTAGGTTATCTTTCTCGGGTTAAAGTATAGAAAAAGGAATAGGACTTGATATGTAACAGAGTGCAATCATATCAATCTATTCGACACGTAAGCTTTTTAAGTGTGACGTGTAACATCTATCAAGAAGAAAAAAACCAAAATTTTTCAATTCTTGTTATTTACATTGTTCTCTACGAATACTCCCCAATTCCGTCAAATTGAATCGAATTGAGATTAACACTCTCAAGTATTCTTCTGACTTGTTTGTCCAGCCTGAAGGTCAACGGAGATCCATCGAGGTGGACGACAAGGAAATCCTCATAGACTTTAAGCCTGCGCCCGTGTCGCCGGATGCACGGATTCTCCTGAACCGATTGTCGGAGTCGACGGAGGTGTTCCTGCCGTTGCAGAAGAGCTTCTCCGACGGCAAAATTCGGATCGAGAGACGCGAGCTGATCGCTGAAGTCGGCGAACCTTGTTATCCTCACACGTGCAGAAGGAATCACCCGGACCCTTGGGGCAGGACCGTCAGAGCACCCGTCCAATTCTCCTCGACGCCAGAGGACCTGTCCTTGCTCAGGGTCGCTCCACTCCACGACGATCATCCCGAAGAGGCAAGTAGAATATTATCGCTTCATCAAACCGATCCATTAATAGGCTCTGTTGCGAACTATCGCGGGTAGCCGCGGGTCGCAACGTTCGTTGACCGTCGTGTCACCCATGCTATACAAGCTGACCCATTTAAATCGATCCTGTCAAACAGCTTGCAAACCGTCGCACAATGAGGTATTTGCCAGTAATAGAAGCAAGAATTCGTTTCAGTTACAGAATTACATTAAACAAAAAAATATGTCTACAAAGTCGATTATATTATCGTTTTACTGTCGTTTGGTTGAGTTTTATGAGTATAATAATGGTATTTTTTGTTTGTTCTGGAAAGCATCATTTTTGTACTTTTTTCATGTGTATTTGCGACGTGTTTCTTAAGCTTTTTAACAAGATCAAGGCTAAAACATATCTAATAACTATAAACATATTTTCTGCATTTCATATATAGACCTTAGGAAGTTAAAGTTTTTATATACTCGGTTATGGAAATTATAAATGAAATTTTATTTGAAAAATTCAATATCATTAATTTAATAATGTTGTTTTTATATATCAGTAAAATTATTGTGAGGGCACAGTAAGCAAAAGACCACACTGTTTAGTCACAAACAGATTCATTAGGATATAAAACGTTTTCGTTGATAAAGGAATATTCAAACTAATTTAAATTATAGTTGAGTATCTTCTTTATAGAATTTTAAAGCATCATGTTTTTTTGAAAATAATCATAATGTAGTTTTAAAATTGCATATAAAGAAGCGAAGTAATTAGATCCCTTTGCCCACATATGGAGTAAAGAGGTCTCACTATGAAGCAATGAGAGTCTGAAACAAAGATAGAATATAAAATTAGAAATTAAACAATTCAATTAATTATATTGAACTGTTTAACACGTACAACAATTCTATCTTTGTTACAGACTCTCATTAAATATAAATTTAATTATATTTTCTAAAGTTAACAAATTTTGGCTAAAAAATGCAGAAGTTTTAGGTTAGTTTTAGGTTAATCCAATGCGCACCTTGTTCACGCATTTTTCATCCACTCTACAATTTGACCAAATAACATGTTTATCATTAATCGATTAATTTAATCAGTTCTCAGATATTTTGCATTATTATTAATGAAAATATTAATATTTATAGAAATCATGAACACACAGAAAAAAATTTCTATTTCAAATAAATAACTTAGTTATCCGAATTCCAATTTACAGAAAATTACCGATCGAAAATGCTGATACTTTATTACTTTATTTATTTACTAAATAACAGTATTATTATAATTTAATAGATATAATTATCATTGTATCGATACATCAATTTAGTATACTGGATGAGTGAAATTAGTTCCCTCGATTTTTCAGCTCCTCCGGATGGTCTGACAAAAAAATTAGTATTTAGCCGACAAGAAATTGCAATTGTTTAAATTTAAAAACAAATTTATTTTCGACAAAAGAGCAAGGTCACCGTTATATTTTTTAATGAAACTGGTTACAGTATTGTACATACTATTGTAGGCGACGTCGAGACGAAATCGACGACCTGCCACATGATAACCTTCGAATGAAATCAGAGGAAAAATTGCCATGAATAGAATATTCGAAACAATTTGGCGATGCATAACTCCAACATAAGCAAATGAACGTAAACATTATTAATGCTCATTAATTAAATTTCAGATCTTAATGCATAAAACAAAAGAAAAATTTATATAAAACCAAATTGAAAACACTCATGTTGGAAATGTGCATATAATTAGTAACTGAATTAAATTTTCAAACTGCATTCCACCTTCTGCAACGGAAAGTTCTGCTCTTTGTAATGTTTACGTTCATTTGTTCATGTTTCCATGCAAGGTCTTGGTGTTATGTATCGCCAAATAATTTCAAATGTTGTGGCAATCGGATCATGACAAATTTTTCTTCAATGTCATCTGAAGGTCATCATGTAGCAGGTCGTTGAATTCACCTCAACGTCGCCTACAACACTATGAAGTTAAAATTATCCAGTTTCATTTAAAAATATAACGGTGACCTTGTTTTTTTATCGAAAATCAATGTGTTTTCAAATTTAAACGATTGCAGTTTCTTGTCGGTTAAATACTAATTAATTTTGATGCGGAACATTTTTTTCTCAGACCATCGAAAGGAGCTGAAAAATCGTGGGAACTAATTTGTGATTCACCCTGTATATCTTTATTTCATATAAGGCTCACTATGATTCGCTCTTCCCCACTTCAGTGTTTCACCACAGTGCGTTCTAGATTTAATATTGTGTCAGTATTTTATTTATTGCCCACCTTTTTCAAATAAATATTTCAAATACCTAGAAAAGGGTATAAATAGCGACTGGACGTTCCGTGCGCTACAGTAGAAACGACAAGTTTAATGCGGGTACCTACAACACATTTCCAGTTTGCATTGATTTCAGGAAGCGCCGAAAACCTGACGGTATCCGCTTTGTCTCGAATTCTGAGACCGTCGCTGTGCATTGTTATTAGTTTCGGTGTTTCATAATTAGTGTTGCTATCTATCCATTTCACAAATATCAAGTATTAATTGTCGAAGTTCGCTACTATGGCATTGTTGGATAAAAGTCTGATAAATAAGACTTCGAATGTGATATATTTATAATAAAAACGAGTAGGCGAGATTTAAAACAATAGAAATATTCAGAAAATTGGAGGACATTTATGTATCGTTTTCAACTCATTGAAATTATTGGAGACGAAAAGAAATTTTTAGTTCGTTGAAATTAATGAAGATAACTCTTATAATAATTATTACACAATTGTTATTCTACCTAAAGGTTCGCAGTCCACTGATAACAATTCTAAAGCGCCTATTATTGCAATAGCTTTATTATTAACAACTTAAGTATTATTTATCAATAGATAATGGTATTGAAATTACTATAGCTAAAAAACGTACCTTTAACTAACTGTGAACACGATATTTAATGATTGAATTTTAAGTGATTCATATTGATTTCTCCGATTTTTTTTCATGTTATACTGTTTTGACATGTTCATTTGTAGCCAAACGTAGACATCCCTATTTAACTTTGTAAATGTTTGTATTACAGATACGATTCTACAGTATAACTTTATTATGATGTGCATTTTCTGAAATAGTTTAATAGCAATTGAAAATAGTAGGAAAGGTTAAAAGTGTTTTAAAATATCAATGTATAATTCTTAATCTGCTAAAATTATTAATGAAAGAAACAACTTGCTATATCGTCTCTAGTACCTGCAATTAATGCATACAATTTTGTATTTTGCAGAAAAATTCGCACTATACCTGTGAACGATAGTTTATCCGAAAACAATCTGCTACAATACTATGACATATAATCAATTTATTAAATTAAATAATTTTTATTTATCAATTTTTATTTATTAAATCAATTTTTTAAATTTAATAATTCCTTTTCATAAAAGATCTCGTCGTAGTTCATTTGAGCGAATGAATGATCATTTTGCAAATTATTGGTTTTCCACGACCTTTACATTATCGTCGCATTATTTATAATCAGAATTGTTCCACGAATCGATCTTATGTCTTATCGATTTTGTGGAAAAGTATTATAATTGCAATTTCTATATATGGAGCTATGGAAATAATTCTGCAAAGTGTGTGTGTTTTCCCAAATATATTATAAAACCTAACGAGATATGATAAAAATAGATGGAAAACATAGAATACAGTAAAGACTCCCTCGTCCGAATAATTATTTTTACAATATTCCGCTATCCAAACGTTCTATTATCTAATCATTGTGTTATTTAGGTACGTTATCACTTAGTAGAGATCCTGAGTGAAATTTTTAGACAATACGATGTTTCGATATCAGAATATTACAAAAATAAACGTTCGGATAAGAGAGACTCTACGGTATATGAACTCGCTTTAATGGAAGATATACACAGTTTTTGGTAACAAAAAGATTGTTGTACCAGGTATACGAAAAAGATGGACGAATTTCTTTTTACTTGGAATGAAGTTTAATCTGTAATGTATTTTCCATTTTTTTTTATGACCCTTTGCCATCTCTCTGACAACTTGAAAATTCCACGCTCGTAGAAAGTCTGATCCTTTTCGGCCAAAAACTGAGTTAAGCGAGATTTTACAGCGTCATCGTCGTTAAAAGTTTTACCACGAAGGGAGTTGTCCAGGGATCGAAATAAGTGGTAATCCGATGGCGCGAGATCAGGGCTATATGGTGGGTGTAACATCAATTCCCAACCTGTCTCTTATACACATCTAGATGTGTATAAGAGACAGGCTATATGGTGGGTGTAACATCAATTCCCAACCTGTCTCTTATACACATCTAGATGTGTATAAGAGACAGGCTATATGGTGGGTGTAACATCAATTCCCAACCTGTCTCTTATACACATCTAGATGTGTATAAGAGACAGGCTATATGGTGGGTGTAACATCAATTCCCAACCTGTCTCTTATACACATCTAGATGTGTATAAGAGACAGGCTATATGGTGGGTGTAACATCAATTCCCAACCTGTCTCTTATACACATCTAGATGTGTATAAGAGACAGGCTATATGGTGGGTGTAACATCAATTCCCAACCTGTCTCTTATACACATCTAGATGTGTATAAGAGACAGGCTATATGGTGGGTGTAACATCAATTCCCAACCTGTCTCTTATACACATCTAGATGTGTATAAGAGACAGGCTATATGGTGGGTGTAACATCAATTCCCAACCTGTCTCTTATACACATCTAGATGTGTATAAGAGACAGGCTATATGGTGGGTGTAACATCAATTCCCAACCTGTCTCTTATACACATCTAGATGTGTATAAGAGACAGGCTATATGGTGGGTGTAACATCAATTCCCAACCTGTCTCTTATACACATCTAGATGTGTATAAGAGACAGGCTATATGGTGGGTGTAACATCAATTCCCAACCTGTCTCTTATACACATCTAGATGTGTATAAGAGACAGGCTATATGGTGGGTGTA